CCTGCTGGGTCTGTCCTGTGACCTCCTCCTCATGCACCTAGCCTGGCACAGCAGTCGACCCGTGGCACCTGCTGGGTCTGCCCCGTGACCTCCTCCTCATGCACCTAGCCTGGCACAGCAGTCGACCCGTGGCACCTGCTGGGTCTGCCCCGTGACCTCCTGCCAGCGGGCGTTCGACACTTCACGTGGTAGCCTCAAGGTGCACTTGGCCTGGCACAAGCGTCGTGGTGACGTTACCGCCACTTAGTGGCGAATGGCAGTTGTTGTTGTGTCTGTCTGTGTGTGTGTGTATGTGTGTGTGTGTATGTGTGTATGTGTGTGTATGTGTGTGTGTGTATGTGTGTGTGTATCTGTGTGTATGTGTGTGTGTCTGTGTGTGTATCTGTGTGTATGTGTGTGTGTGTCTGTGTGTATGTGTGTGTGTGTCTGTGTCTATGTGTATGTGTGTATGTGTGTGTCTACGTGTGTGTGTATGTCTGTGTGTGTATGTGTGTGTGTATGTATGTGTGTGTGTATGTGTGTATATGTGTGTATGTGTGTGAATGTGGCCTCAAGGTGCACATGGCCTGGCACAAGCGTCATGGTGACGTCACCGCCACTTAGTGGCGAATGGCGGTTGTTGTTGTTGTTGTGTTTAACTTGTGTACGGAGGCTATGCCGGTTCTGTGTGTGTGTGTGATGAGTGTGTGATGTGTGTGTGTTTGTGTGATGTGTGCGCGTGTGTGTGATGTGTGTGTGTGTGATGTGTGCGCGTGTGATGTGTGTGTGTGTGACTATACCGGTTCTGTGGGTGTGTGTGATGTGTGTGATGTGTGTGATGTGTGTGAGTGATGTGTGTGTGACTATACCGGTTCTGTGGGTGTGTGTGATGTGTGTGATGTGTGTGTGTGATGTGTGTGATGTGTGTGATGTGTGTGTGTGATGTGTGTGAGTGATGTGTGTGTGTGATGTGTGTGATGTGTGTGTGTGTGATGTGTGATGTGTGTGAGTGATGTGTGTGTGGCTATGCCGGTTCTGTGTGTGTGTGTGATGTGTGTGTGTGATGTGTGTGTGTTTGTGTGGTGTGTGCGCGTGTGTGTGTGTGTGATGTGTGTGTGTGATGTGTGCGCGTGTGATGTGTGTGTGTGTGACTATACCGGTTCTGTGGGTGTGTGTGATGTGTGTGATGTGTGAGTGATGTGTGTGTGACTATACCGGTTCTGTGGGTGTGTGTGATGTGTGTGATGTGTGTGTGATGTGTGTGAGTGATGTGTGTGTGACTATACCGGTTCTGTGGGTGTGTGTGATGTGTGTGATGTGTGTGAGTGATGTGTGTGTGACTATACCGGTTCTGTGGGTGTGTGTGATGTGTGTGATGTGTGTGAGTGATGTGTGTCTGACTATACCGGTTCTGTGGGTGTGTGTGATGTGTGTGTGATGTGTGTGTGTTTGTGTGATGTGTGCGCGTGTGTGTGTGTGTGATGTGTGTGTGTGTGTGATGTGTGCGCGTGTGATGTGTGTGTGTGTGACTATACCGGTTCTGTGGGTGTGTGTGATGTGTGTGATGTGTGTGAGTGATGTGTGTGTGACTATACCGGTTCTGTGGGTGTGTGTGATGTGTGTGATGTGTGTGTGATGTGTGTGAGTGATGTGTGTGTGACTATACCGGTTCTGTGGGTGTGTGTGATGTGTGTGATGTGTGTGTGTGATGTGTGTGTGACTATACCGGTTCTGTGGGTGTGTGTGATGTGTGTGATGTGTGTGTGATGTGTGTGTGTGATGTGTGTGATGTGTGTGTGTGATGTGTGTGTGTGATGTGTGTGTGTGTGTGTGATGTGTGTGTGTGTGATGTGTGTGATGTGTGTGTGTGTGTGATGTGTGTGTGTGTGTGTGATGTGTGTGATGTGTGTGTCTGTGTGTGTGTGATGTGTCTGTGTGTGATGTGTGTGTGTGTGATGTGTGTGTGATGTGTGTGTGTGTATGTGTGTGTGTGTGATGTGTGTGTGTGTGATGTGTATGATGTGTGTGTGTGATGTGTGTGTGTGTGATGTGTCTGTGTGTGATGTGTGTGTGTGATGTGTGTGTGTGATGTGTGTGTGTGTATGTGTGTGTGATGTGTGTGTGTGATGTGTGTGATGTGTGTGTGATGTGTGTGATGTGTGTGTGTGTGATGTGTGTGTGTGTGATGTGTGTGTGTGTGATGTGTGTGTGTGATGTGTGTGTCTGTGTGTGCCTGTGTGTGCGTGTGATGTGTGTGTGTGATGTGTGCGTGTGTGGCTATACCGGTTCTGTGGGTGTGTGATGTGTGTGTGTGATGTGTGTGTGTGATGTGTGTGGCTGTGTGTGTGTGCCTGTGTGTGTGTGATGTGTGCGTGTGTGTGACTATACCGGTTCTGTGGGTGTGTGTGATGTTTGTGTGCCTGTTTGTGTGTGTGTGCGATGTGTGTGATGTGTGTTGGTGTGATGTGTGTGTGTGTTGGGGTGATGTGTGTGCGTGTGTGTGCCTGTTTGTGTGTGTGTGCGTGCGATGTGTGTGATGTGTGTGTGTTTGTGTGTGTGCCTGTTTGTGTGTGTGTGTGTTCGTGCCTGTGTGTGTGCGATGTGTGTGTGTGTGTGCCTGTGTGTGTGATGTGTGTGCGTGGTGAATGGCGGTTGTTGTTGTCGCTGAGTGAGGCGATAATCTGTCGGCAGCCACTAGAGGTCGTTGTTTCGTCACCATGAGGGTTGGTGGTGGTGGTGGTGGGAGGTTAACCCACAAAGGCCGTCGAACTCTGTTCAAGGGTTGAACATTGAAGTTGTGCCTTGAGCGTATTACGGTGCCAAACATAAATGTTGACGTGCAGACGCACACACACACAACCACTCACCCACACACACAACCACTCACCCTCACACACACAACCACTCACCCACACACACAACCACTCACCCACACACAACCATTCACCCACACACAACCATTCACCCACACACAACCACTCACCCACACACAACCACTAACCCACACACACACAACCATTCACCCACACACAACCACTCACCCACACACATACCATTCCCCCACACACACAACGCACTCACACACACACAACCACTCACTCCACACACCCACCACACACACCAC